GTTTGTATCCAGCTGCTCATGCAAGTGGACAGGAGATTAGCATAATTACCACCCCAAAAACACCATATAAGGCTGTGTTTCCTGTCTCAGATATCAGGAAGTGTCCATTCATGAAAATGGCAGCGAAAAGTAAAAAGAAGAACTTCACGAGTTCGGAGAGTGAAGTCCTGCTCTCCAAGATCGAGAGAAGAAAATATGTCCTTTTTAGCAGCGTCAGTCGTGGAATTAAAGGGCCGGCTAAAGCCAAAGTATGGAATAAAATAACTACTGCTGTTAATGCTGTGTCTCTTGTGGGTCGTACAGTCACAGAAATAAAAATCTAACTCATATTCATCTGTCTCTAGTCCTGCTCCAGTTTTTCTTTGGTCAAATATTTTTAATTTAAGTGTGAACAACTGTGTTATATAGTTTTCATTTGTTCAGAAGAAGAGCAGTCGTGCACCTTTTGAAGACATCGTCAATCTAGCCAACATGTCCCCCTCTGAAGGGGCAGAGCCTGAAAACTCATAAGGAATGTTTTTTTCAATTTACCCTGAGTTGTTGAGGGCTTCTGACAACATAGATCTGTTGTAGCTCCTTACGTTTATAGGCGTAATTTGTGGGGGTTATGACCCCCACAATAAAATGATCCAGTGAATATCCCCCCTCAAGTAAAATGACATCATTTGCTCTAGCACAATAGAAATTAACTAGCCAAGTACACATCTGCACCTCTCTTGATGTCTTTTGGTAACTTTGACCTGATGTCAGATTTAACATAAGTACGTTTAAACTGCTGAAAATGACATGCAGGGTTTGAGTCTGCTCTTGTCACATTATGGTTATATTTGTTGAATCGTGTTTGAAGTTGTCCTAGCCAAATTGTAGTGCACCAGGTTAATACATGCTCTTGTAAAATTGAGAAATTTAGGTGGATAATGCACCCTAAAAATGTAAGACCTGAAGTTACACCCTTGGTCATGCAAATATGAAATCATTTTTCAGTTGAAGTAAAAGAAAAAAAATTGAGAATGAAATGTTCTTATTTACTGAGATCRCAGATTTCTTTTTCAAGGAAGGCCTTTCCCTGAAGGCAACCTATTGTACATGTTTTTTAGGGGTGGGGGAAACCGGAGCACCCGGAGAAAATCCAACCAAGCACGAGGAGAACATGCAAACTGGGCACAGAAAGAGTCCAGGTCCGAACCCAGGACCTTTTTGCTGTGAGGCGTCAGTGCTAACCACTGATCCATCGTGCTTCTGTAACACATAAAAAAAAAATAAAGTTATTTCCACATTTGGGACCAATGGAACAAAAAGTTTAAACATGAAGTCAGGACTTCCTCGTGTTCTCTCTCCCTCAACTCAAAATTTCAATCAAAAGTTATTTTTAAGCAGCCCTTTAAACATGTGACCATGAATGTTTGATACAAAAAGTGCAAACAGATCAAACTACTCAGCACTTCCACTCAGTGCAGGATGAATTAATCAACACTTTGAAGCCAGTTAATAGGTCCACCTGAGTGAAGCGTGGACAGTAAGCAGCTAAATGGATACAAAATATTGCAAAATATTGAATATTGTTATTTATTACAAGACCTGCACATGATGTAATCAGCAAAAATGTTTATAAGATTATTAAAGTGTGTTTAATATGTAACTGTTTCTTAACTAAATTGCTTTTATTCATTTATTTATTTATTTATAGTTGAAATTTTCATTGAAAATGGGATTTTATATCAAATAKTGTGACAAAAACTCAAGYTACAATGTAAAATGGGGATAGGATATTAGATTAAAAAAAMMA